GCATTGATTCCACAAACGTTTATGTTCCTAGACCTTCAGTAGTAGTAAACTACACTACCATCAAATTGTGTGTTGGCATCCGAAGAAGGTGGTAAAGAGGCGACAAAACGTGATGACAAAAGCGTTTGTTGATTGGCCAGCCTCAATGTATCCTCGTGAACACGTGTGCAAGCAGTGACAGCTGGCAGGTAGGGGTAAGTCATAGCCACTAATCAGCTTGCGCTGGGCCCATTCGGACGCATGCCTCCATTGATACGTGTCCGCTGACCGTCAACCACCACGGAACGGCTCATCGACTCCGGAAGGCTGGTTGTCTGTCATTGTGATGAATGCTTCGGCATATATTCACTAAGTGATTTTAAGAACAATGAAATGTTGCGAGATGTGTGTGCACGAGTAGATGGTTAACGCCGAGTCACAGACAAGCCTCGACTAACAAGCCTCTGTTGATAGGCACAACGAAGCATACGCACACCGAATGCTTAGACGTTTGCTGGAATTTCTGAAATTGTTGTCGTAATTGGCCCTATTGCAGGCCCCAGTGCGGTTTTGGGGAACCACATCAGGGCCGGAGATAAATGCACACAAGGCCCAACCGAAAGAAGAAATGAAAATGCAGATGGCGAGTCGCTTGGCTAATTTATTAAAGCTGCGGCGGGGTGCGTGTTTGCACAGGTGCGTTTATATGGCTCTGTTAGGCATCGATCTCTGAACGAACGGAGGTGCGTGAAATGCATTCACGAAAATCGATTGAATTGTGTTCACTCACGCTTGCTTACTGCGTTCGCTCATGACTGCTAACTGTGCTTGCTTGCTGCTCGCTACAGCCTCATCGAGAGCCTAAACAGTCACCACTTCTCGAGGCTGTTCTTCACACACAGCCAGCCCACTCTTCTCTTAGACGACCGCCAGCACTTGTCAGCATTTCTGTAAGAACGCTCGCAAGAAGTCATCCCGTTGTCAAATTGCTGACAATAAATTCGCTCAAGTAATTGGTGTGCCTGTAATATCTGGTGAATGCATTTTAGCAGCACAAGGCCTCAGAAGATGAGGATGAGAACAACTTGGTTTCTGCTGTAATCCCTAGTTCCGAGTGTGTTTCCCTGTCGTTTCCCACGTTTGTTTTTAGTGTCACTTCAGGCCGTCTTGCGCTTGCGTCTCCTGCAGGAGACAGGACTTATTTCGAAAAGTGCTTTTTCGCAGTTCTTAACCACGTAATGAACTATGTTGGATATTCATTTTGTTCCAATAAACCAGGGAAGCAAGCCTTATTTTGTCTAGTCATTTTGGATGTTGTAATTCTTATTTCAATCTGTATAGGCTTCCTAACTGCATCAATATGAAGCTACTGTTTAGTTGAGCATTACCGGTTCCCTACTTGGAATGTAAAGCCAAAATGGTGAGTATTTATGCTGGATGCTTCGTGGTCAGTGTGTATTTCTTCGTTGGAGAAAAAGTAGCCAATGCATGCAATGTTGATGTAATACAAAATGTAAATACAAAAAGCAGACAATGTAGTTATTCATTTTCGAGGCTTTCTACTTCTGAAACAAATGAGGCAGAGCTTCTTTTAGCTGCAGGTACAACGAGGACTGGCACACCGGAGTGGAGGATGACATAGTGACTGACGCCTCCTAGTATCGTTCTGCGCGCTTTTCCAATACCTCTTGAAGCAATGACAATGAGACTGGCTTTATGTTCTTCAGCGACCTTGATAACCGTGTTGCCTACCGACGAATCTATATGCAGCGATATAACATGAGGGCAGTGTGCAGCTTTGCACATCTGCGAGTAACGCTCGAGAATCTTCTTGCCCGCTGCGATTCCCTCATTCACGTTGGAGGAAATGTCAACTGCAGCTTGGTCCATCGCGAATCCGCCTGGAGGGGTGATGTAGTGCGGCTGGACGATGTGAAGTAGGACGAGTTTGTCGCCCGGTTTCATTATTCGCTTGATGTACCACTTGAACGCTCGTTCGCAGTGCGCACTGCCGTCGACAGGTAAAAGAACAACACGATCAACATTGGACTCACTAGCCATCTGAAGAACGGAATGCTAGGATGCAGTAAGCATGCGAATTTATTTGATGACCGCACACTCGACTGTTGCGTGCGCATGACGGCTGAGTAGCACTAACACCAATAAGAACAAAGACGATATTTCAACTTACGGGTAGCATTGAGAGTATCATCAAAGACCCTGAATGTGATCTTAATCATGGTCACTACGGGGGATTCAATTATTGTAAATAAAGTTTTAACCGATTTCTTTGCAAATGTTTTCGATTGGCCCAAGTTTACCAAACCATTTGGCATACAATTAAGAAATTTGTAGGTTGTTTTGGATGCTGCTATCAGTCGTAGTGACGAAATATTTTGTCTCAAGAAATATAATGCATATTTCACCTGTTTATCCAGAAAGCTGCAAATCACCTAATATTTGCAATAATTTCTAGTACCACCATGGTAAAAAAAGGTGATTGATTAACTTTGCGAACCAAATGCTCTGATTTCAGGTGAAATTATGTGGACTATTTAAGTTGCTAACAAGATTTTTAAAAATTCGTGCAATGGAATACTCCATAAAATTTAGGAAAATGTCAGCGTTTTTAAATGTTTGGGCATAGGGTTTAGGGCAGTGTTTAAAAAGGGACGGCTGCCCAATAATATATCAGAATTTATTACGAGCAAATCAAAGTTGATTCATTGGCAGTAGTTTAACACTTCGAAACTCCTGCATCTAATTTGATTTATCTACGATTTTTTAATACTTCAAGCTAAATAATAGCGCTACATAATAGTTATATTACAACACCGGTTTTTCTACTTATATGGTGGCCAAAATTTTAATGAAATTTAAAGTGAATTTAATTTTCCATGCTGCTATCTTCTCAGTGCTGAAACAACAAAGTCCATGCAACAGTTAAAATAAATTTTTGATGAAAAACACTTTAAATTATTGCTACACCTTAAGGAATTTATGACTAAGAAAATTACTTGAGGAAAAATTGCCTGATTTAAATTTAAGTGAGATGCCGTTGTGTTATTGTTTAGTGATTTTCACATGGATATATAATTCCAATTATCGTACAAATGGCTTAGCCGCAGGGATAAATTGGAAGCGAAAGTAAGGACAGGATAAAAAAAAGATATAAATTAAATTAGGGATTTCAGGAATTGCGTTCGGGAGATGGCCTAATACACCGCAGATTGGACGGATCGTAGGAATTTCTGAATGTTATTGTTCGTTAATCCAATCTAACACGGATCAAATGGTAAAAGCATAA